GGGGAAAAAAATTCCTTCTTCATCCCCCGAGAGAGGATCAGATATTCCCTGAATCAACTTTACCTATAAATGTTAGTATCCAGTTATATTCTGTGTATTTAGGAAAGAATCCAGGCCTTTTTTAAAGCAATCCACTGAGCTGGCCAGAACCAACTCTTGAGGGATTCTAGTCCACATTTTTCACAGCTCTTACTGTGAAGAGACCTTTCCGTTTTTGGAGATTACATTTCTTTTCCTCCAGACGTAAAGAGTGCCCCCTTGTCCTCTGTGATGACCTCAGGGTGAATAGCTCTACACCGAGTTCATATGAACCACTGATGTATTTATACATGTTGATCATATCCCCCCCTTAATCTTAAACTTTGTGGTGATATGAAGCTGAAAAATATTCTAAATGCAATCTGAAGAAGTATAATTCTACTATTAAAAGTTCTCAATTGTTTCTCTCTGTTACAGATGTAGACACAAGTCCACTGTCTCACAAGATGTAATAAGGCTTTGATTCCCCACACAGATACTTGGCCTGCAAATAAAGATCTTGTCCTGTATTTAAACAGCATTACAATTTCAAGCAACATAATTGCTGCATCAGTCTAATGGGATCTTACAAGAACAGCATCTGTTCTGTAATTACTTTACGTGGAATTTATTTTATTTAATGCTGGATTTTCCCAGCTCATCGAAATTGCTGTTCATTAAGTCTGGCCTTTATCACATCTGAGTTCTGGAAATGCCTGGAGATGACTAACTTGCTCATGCTGCCAAAATGATGGAAATCAAATACAAAGAATTATAAAAGTATTAATGTCAGATTATGTTATATTTGATCATGTCATTTATTTTAGAGATATACTCCTAGGCATTGGTCATCTCAACAGTGTGATGACATATTTACATGTCAACAATGATATACAGTAACATCGTTTTCAAGGAACCTAATCCTTTGCATGCATCTCAACATATCAGCCCTCATATGGTGATCACTATTATTACTTAGTGATTCATTATACAGCAGCATTGCCTATATACGTTTTTCTACATTTAAATTAGACCTTCAAGGAAAACATTGTTTTTTTTTTAGTTGACAGACTTTTCTTGCTATCTGTATCCTTATTGGGAAGAGTGCCCTTCAGTTCCAGTCCCAGAAATGTAATAGGTTATGATTGGAAATCTCTTCAGAGTTTGAGAAATCCACCTTTAATAGTTGTCACTGGAAAGGGCTTTGAATTTCACATCATTTCTCTCCTGGTGATATGGTAATTCTTATCTTGCCAAATAAAGTTGGTGGCTCTATCCAATGGCACACAAACATCAGTACAAATTCAGACAGAAGTTCTAATTCTTCACCACTCTAGTTTAAATAAAAAACTATATTTTGGGGGTTAAGAAGCAGAAGACTGATGTTACACACCCATTTTACAGCTTGTACAAAAGCAGCTAAGGCCAATCATAGAAGAACCGACCTGAAAAAGAATTCTGTCCATCCTTGACATGCCACCACTCTATGAGTACCACCATCTACTGCAGAGGGGCAGACAATAGGGCATTTGTTCCTGTCCTTGTCCCATATACATATTTTGGTGGGAAAGCTTTTTTACGTTTTTGTGACCTTCAGATGCATCAGTTGTAGTGCCAAAATACCTTATTTAATAAAAAGATAATATACGAGCGCTATCCGGGGATCTCAAAGGACAGCGGCTAGAACACCAAAAAGGTAACCAAGAGAGAACCTTCCAATAAAGTACATATAAATATATATATATATATATAAAAAAACATATATAAGGTGCAGCGCTATAATAGTAAAAATGGCATATATAACATATTATAAATAAAGTGCAAATGTCAAGTCACACTGCGGTGAGGTTAAGTGAGATGAAAAGTCCCAAAATAAGGTCAAACGTGGGGATCCAATAGATCCTAGTAGGTGCGTGGGATGAGATTCTGTGTATCACACGGTGAATCTGGGGTAAAAATTGCGCACTCACCAGAAGTGCGTCAAAAAAACGCATGTAAGATTTATCCTGTAGTATCGGATAGCGGTCATCAATTGCCAAGATAGGGACAGGGTCATACACCTTCCAATCGCAACTTGGGTAAATACTTCAAATTTCATATACGTGTCTCAGGCATGTCCCCATCCGGGGTCCCCTTTTAGAGCAGATTCTGCAAGTGGGGACTCTCATTGAAGAGAGCCCAATAAGGGACACCACATAGCGTCATACCGTATACACTGAATTTATTAAAGGTACAACATGAATTGTAGAGGTAAAATGCAAATAAAAACACTGACCAGATAATAATCAGGATGGCCACCTGTGGTGGTCAGACGTCCAGATACTGCAGCCCCGCTGACGCGTTTCGTGCGGTGCACATTATCAAAGGGTCCTGGGCTTACCCAATGGGACACAAACATCAGCACAAATTCAGACAGAAGTTCTAATTCTTCACCACTCTATTTTAAATAAAAAACTATTTTTGGGGGGTTAAGAAGCAGAAGACTGATGTTACACACCTATTTTACAGCTTGTACAAAAGCAGCTAAGGCCAATCATAGAAGAACCGACCTGAAAAAGAATTCTGTCCATCCTTGACATGCCACCACTCTATGAGTACCACCATCTACTGCAGAGGGGCAGACAATGGGACATTTGTTCCTGTCCTTGTCCCATATACATTTTTGGTGGGACAGCTTTTTTTACATTTTTTGTGACCTTCAGATGCATCGGTTGTAGTGCCAAAATACCTCATTTACCACAATAAAGTTCAGCATCAAAATCTAGACCCCCATCTGTGTTGCCTAACAAATATTAATTGCTGAAAGCTTTGGACTGCATGCACTGGAGAGGGCAAAATCTGGTGCAACTCTGCATAGAAACCAATCAGCTTCCATGTTTTATTGTCAAAGCTTAATTGATCAAGCTGAAGTTAGAGGCTGATTGGCTGCCATGCACAGCTGCACCAGATTCTGAGTGCACCAGTTTTAGTAAATCTCCCACATGATCTGTTTTTTAAGTAGAAACCAATAAAATTAATTTGGACTCTTTTATCATTTGGTATGGCGCTTCTTCCATTGCTACATGTTTTTTTCTGATAACCTGTAGGATACCCGCTGTAGGGTACCCCTGATTGTTGTGAGCACACTAACCTGAGCCAGTAAGTTCTCAGACTTTTTTTTTCCTCTCACTACTTTGTATCAACTCACATCAACACCCCAGCACCTTTTTGATGCTTTTTTCTGCTCTGCCACCCAAGGCTTTCTCCTTCTTTGGGCCTTTGTGGTGTGCTTTAGACTATAGTGCATAAGCAATTTTTATTTTGCAAAGTAAACATTAACTTAGCTTAAAGAATAAAGTGAAGTGCCATTCATTTCAATCATCTGTCTAGGGCAAGACATTTTATTTTAATTTTCCAGGTTGTAAAGTGCTGCGCAAACTGTTAGTGCTAAATAAATCCTGAATATTAATAATAATAATAATAATAATAATAATAATAATAATTTCATTTGCACATGATCAGGTAGTTGAAATAGATATAGCTTTCCATTGTTCACTAAACTAAGTGAACATTTAGAACTCCACAGAGTTCAACCACTTGAGGACCGCCCAAAAGCATTTCACTGTGGGTGGGTGGCTCATACAAGCACATCAAGGTATCTGTACGTCCCCCACTTCTTTTGGGTTCAGGGTTCAGATTGGACACAGTTGGATGTTGTCAGGAGGTTTCAGCCAATGATTCATGGCTGAGACCTGCTGATCAGCTGTGTCCAATCACAGCCCAGAGCCCTGTGTTAACAAACACACAGGGCTCTGTAAAGAGAGAGTTATCTCCTTGTTTCTTTCTTCAAGGAGAAGGAACAAACAGACTTTTAGTAAAAAGCAGCACACATTAACACTTGTTAAGCACACACTTAACCCTTTGATTACCCCAAGACGTTAACCCCTTCCCAGCCAGCTACAATGACAGTGTATAGTATTATCACTGATCACTGTATTAATGTCACTGGAGATGTCAGTGTCAGTTAGTCTACCTTTATCCCAGTGTCAGTTAATGTCAGATTGCCTGCTGCAGTATTACAGTCCCACTATAAGTTGCTGATTACTGCCATTACTAGCATTAAAAATAAACAAATAAATAAAAATTCCAGTACATATACCAGAGTTTGTAGACGCTAAAACTATCACAAAATCTAATCGATATACACTTATTAGGATTTTTTTTACCGATGGCATGTAGCAAAATACATTCTGGCCTAAATTTATGAAGACATTTGATTTTTTTCTATTTTTTATTGGATATGTTTTATAGCAGAAAGCAAAAAAATATTTTTTTTTTTTTTAATTTTGGGCTTTTCTGTTTATATAATAAAAAATAACTCAGTGGTGAATAAATAGCACCAAAAGAAAGCTTTATTTGTGTGAAAAAATTATATAAATTTAATTTGGGTTTAATGTTACATGACCACCCAATTACCAGCTTAATGTTACATGACCGCGCAATTACCAGTTAAAGTAACCCAGTGGTGAATAAATACCACCAAAAGAAAATGAAAAGTAGGTACGCACTGACATAATTTCCGGGGGCACGGTGACGTCATTTCCGGCGTTGGCGCCATTTCTGGAGGGATTGTGAAGCAAGTGGAGCTGCATGCATTTTTTAGCATGAGAACCATGGAAACACACCCATGATATGGGAAAAAGCTGATCTTTGTCATTTTACATGTGAGTGGGCATTTTATTTATATTCATGTTAATATTAAAACTGGATTACACTATGGAGGATCTTCTTTGTTTTTAACCACTTCCCGACCGGCCGTTGTATATAAACGGCCGGACGGTGGCACTGCAGGGTCGGGTGGCCGTCTATAAACGGCCTCCCCGCACCCTGCTTGTGCGCGCTCCCTGGGAGCGCGCAGCACTGCGATCCGGTGCCCGCTGTGTCCTCCGGACACAGTGAAACACCGATCGTCAGACGGGACCTCTGTACGAGGTCCCGATCATGTGATCACTGATTGGCCAATCAGTGATCACATGCAAAGTAGTAAGCAAGATGTCACTTGTGACATCATTGCTTACTATGTGTGAAATCTGTGAATGATCACAGAGGTCACATGGTACAAGGCTATTCACAAAAGCCTTGTACCATGTGACAAGCTGTGACCAATCACAGCTCACTCTGTATTTCTCAATGAGTGCAGGAATGCACACAGAGAGAAAGAGAAATTATTGCTTTTACATCCTATATGGGTGTAAAAGCAATCAGTGTAAAAAAAAAAAAAAAAAAATCTTTATCACCCCTCACAAGTAGTACAGTGTCACCATGGTGACACTGTACTGCTAGGGTGACAGTATGTAAAAAAAAATAAAATAAAAAAAATAATAATATAAAAAAATAAAATAAAAATGTAAAAAAAATGTTTAAAAATTATAATTTTTGCTTATAAACTAATTTGGATTTTTTTTTTTTTACTAAAAAGATAACGGAATAAATTTTGGCTAAGATTTATGATGAAATATTATTTATTTGCAAAATCTTATTAAAAAAAACACTTTTTAAAAAAATTTTTGGACATTTCATTTACATAGCAAAAAAAAATACAAATGCCAGTGGTGAATAAATACCACCAAAATAAAGCTTTATCTATCTAAAAAAAATGGTAAAAAATTCATTTGGGTACAGTGTTGCATGACCGCGCAATTGTCATTCAAAGTGTGATAGCGCTAAAAGCTGAAAATTGCCCTGGTCAGGAAGGGGGTAAAAGTGTCCGGTCTGGAAGTGGTTAATGGTATCTTAAACGGTTTTGTGGAATCGAGTACCTAGGAGATAGGAGAAGATATTGGAGGGATCTATCCATACGTTCCATCCTTTGATGATACCTTATTGGGTGTATAAGGTCACCTACATAGCTTTTTTGCCCAGTGGGTCGCATCAAGGAGGTGAGGGGCCATCTTGGCCATCTGTGGATTGACCGCACACTGAGTGGCACTGTGATCACCTCACGGAGTTTTGCTGTGATTTTTCACCATCATTGGCATTTATGGACTGCTGCCCATAGTATTCATTTTATGAGCACCTAACACTGAATATTTATTGTGCATTCTATATGTGATATTTCCATTGATCTCATTTGTATTTTAGTATAGGTTGTTAGCGCTGCACTATTTTTTGGACCACCAAAAGAAAGCTTAATTTGTGTAAAAAAAATTATATAAATTTAATTTGTGTTTAATGTTACATGACCGCGCAATTACCAGTTAAAGTAGTGCAGCGCTGAAAAGCAAAACATATGGCCTGGTCATGAGGGGAGTTAAACCTTCTGGAGCTCAAGGTTAATCACTGAAGGAATAGAGAATTGATACTTAGCCGTGTTCATGTTATTCAGCCAATCATGTGCAAGCAAAAATCCTGCTTTTTTTGTTTCGTTAATTTCGTTTGCACGTGATTGGTTATTCAGTCAACACAGCTTCTATTTATTTATTATTCTGGGGGAATCTAATTGGAAAGTCTCTGTTAGTCCGTATAGTACAACCCTTTCAGTAAACCATCCTCAGTATATTTGCCCTACTTGTAAATTGTTGGCTATGGATGTGACTTATATTCTGTAGACACCCATATGCACAAAGGCCCTTATGTCACCTGAGGTCTACTGTTGTTTGACACTGGCAAACATCTGTTACAAGGCCAAACAAGCGACTTCTTCAGAAATATCCTAATGCAGGTATAAAATATCTGTGGTTTTAGACTGTAGACTAGTTTATGTTCCATTATTAATGCCTTTAAAGACATCCTGTTCTAGAAATGATTGTAGAAAAAGAGGAAAAACCCTGAAAAGATAAGATTTCTCACAAGGAAATTGAATTGGGAACACATGCCAAAATGTCTTCCAGCATTTTTTTTTTCTCTTCTCCTTTGTATCTTGAGGCCAAATGTGGAGAGAATGTCTACTTGTTACAGTTGTGATGCAACATTTCTTGCAGACCATAATAGGTGTCAGTGTTACAGCAGGGAACTGGATCTCATAGTGACGCTGGCTAGGAAATCTGTCCGTGGCTAAGGCTACTTCTGCTGACCTTGTTATAGTTGGATTGGCTAGTGAAGGGAAAATATTTGTACAGGAAATTAGTTGGCCAATCGAAAAAAAAAAAATGTTTGGGCTTTGAAAAACTGTTCTCAGATGGCTTTTATTTCCAATGATTCAATCAATCAATCATGAACTGCCTTGTTTTACTTCCTTGTGCACAACATAGTGATCTATAAAATAGAAGTACAAAGGTGTTCACCAAATCAGCCAATCAAAGGCTTTCTTTATTTTTCTAATCTGCCCTCTAGCAAAATTGACAGTTTGAACCTAAATACCTGGTATGAACAATATTGCTACATAAGCATTTCTTCAGTTTCCATGAATAAAATTTTAGAAGAAATGTAGAAAATAAACGGTAACTAATCAGATATATGATATTGGGCTACAGCACGGGTGTCAAACTGGTGGCCCTCCAGCTGTTGCCAAACTACAAGTCCCAAGAGGCATTGCAAGATTGACAGTTACAAGCATGACTCCCAATGGCAGGGGCATGATGGGACTTGTAGTTTTGGCCGCCAGTTTGACACCCCTGGGCTACAGCAACCTATAGACAGTAAAAACATCATTTTATATTACCACAATGTGAAGGAAATGTCTTTTTTATTTTTTTTAAGTCATTAAATGAGCCATATTAATATCAATATATCACATGCATGATGCTGATGTTAATTCACAAAACATAGTGCAAGTACAGTTATATACAGTATACAGAAAAAGCCACATTAAACCTTTAGTCATTGTTTTGAGTTTTGGATAGAGCAGGAAAGAGTTAGAGTCTCTGTTACTTTTTTTTTTGCTGTCTATGTGCCTGTAGAGGAGATTACCCCTTACTTTCCATCTTGAAATCTCTTTCATGGGGACACAGGCACAAAAATGTGTTTTTATATATATATATACTTATATCCTAAAAGGACATTACGTAGACAGAAAGTAAGGGGAAAATCTACTGAAAGGAGTCACAGACAATAGTAGACAGACATTTTAAAATTTCCTTGCCCTATCCAAAACTAAAAAAAAAACAGGTTTTTCTTGGCTGTAGTTGGACATTGTCTGGTAGTGACAGATTTTTAGATCAGCCAGAAAATCAAAAGTGTTGTCAGAGGTGGCAGGCAGGATCTAGCTACCTAAACATTTGTTGATTAGATGGTTGTCACATAAGAATGCATACTTAGATTACCCGGGAGCACATGTTATTCTTTTGAGGGCAGGAGGGGGCGCCACTGAAAAAATGAATATACACCCATAGAATTTCATTACAAATATTAGTTTCTAAAACATTTTTTAGATTTTCTAGATGGTTAATGGAGTCACATCTGTGATTCAATTCAAATATCAGATCTGGACAAATTTTCAAGAGCTTTTGGACAAAATTACGTGATCGCAAGAATGCCCTAATGAATACTTTTTCAGAATTTTCCTACAAACATTCCAATAAAAATCAAACCATATTTGGGCAGCTTAAGACACCTTGTAATCCTGTGATAAGCTATAGCAATTGTTCCAACAGTAACAGTTGACTGAGATCAGCTGACTGAGACACATATCTGGACATAAAACGTCCCTTGTTTTTGGTCAGACATGTCATGGCCAACTTTACCCCATTTAATATAAGAGATCAGGGAACTGATTGGGAATCATTAGCATTTGTGATCACTGGGAAATGTAGATTATGGAGACCAAAACCAACTGTTGAAATTGCTATTAAACTGCAAGTCATGATTTGCCTGTGCAAAGCTAGATTCACCATTCTGGGGGTAAATCAGTGATTCACTAAACAAGATCTTAATCTGTGTTTCCTGTTATGTTCCCCCCACACATACAACTCCATCTTCTATCCTCCTGTTCCGTTACACAGGTCCTTTGCATAGCATTCCTTTACAAAGTGAATGTTAGTAAAATAGGTGAATCTGTGTTTACTCCAAATACCTAATCATGTGTGAAGGAAATGAAAAAAAAAACGGACTTCTGCTAACATGTTCTCGGAGGATTGAAGTTGGAAGATCTTCGCCTTATGTACTAAGCTCAGAGAACATTCACTTTCCTAAGTGAACAGCACCTACCATACTTCCTGAGAGTTGAAATAAGGACACATTTAGCATAAAGTATGTAGACAAAAGACCTCTAGTTAAATGGACCATGAAGAATTATATGCTGAATGCAAGGTTTGGCTGGATGGAAGGTTTAGAGCACTAAAACACCTTCAGTAGTTAAATTGTTCTAAAAAATCAGCTCAAAAAGAGGGACAACTGAGAAGGGAAGAAGGAACAGAAGGATTTGGTTCTAAATGAGGTAGACCCAGGGGCGTACTGACAACTCATGGGGCCCCTGGGCAATAGGGGATCATGGGTGGGGCCCCTGTGTCCTTGCCCAAACTCAAAAAAGCCTATGAAAAAGGTACCAAGGGCATCTCATGGGGCCCCCTACTGACCCTGGGCCCTCGGGCAGTGCCTGAGTTTCCAAATGGTCAGTCCGCCCCTGTATAGACCCACCAAATGCGAGCCATTTGGGAGATACGGTCTCTACAGCGTTACACCATAGACTGGTGTTTTCATACACCCTTTCTCCTCTTTTTATGGATGCTCTTACTGGAAATCCTTACACCTATTGAACCACACCATGTCAGTCATATTACACATACAAACTGTATATCTCCAACAATTTTCTATAGATTACAAATAGGAAGCATATATCAAGCCTGAATATTTCTTGACTGACTAAAATGATTGATCAGCTAAAGATGAGTCAAAAATGAAGTGGCCCATATGCTTGGCAACATGCTCACAAACATTAACTGTTAACATGCTTCTATTTACATTGATGTGTGTTGCAGACCATGCTACGGTATAAAGGTAAAAGGTAGTTGCATTAATGTTAATGATTTAAAGTTTGCATGATCCAAATACACATTCTAAAACTGGCCATAGATGGTTTGAATCTTGGCCTGTTCAGCAGGGACCAGCCGAGACTCAAACCATCTGTGGACAGGCTGATTTTACCAAATTTAATTCTTGTACAACTTGAGTACAACCAGCCTGTTGGATCTTCCAT